ACCTGCAGAGATCCTTTAAGGCTGGAAAATATCCGTGTAAGGAATTTTCCAGGAATTTTCCAGGAATTTTCACACACTGGCATTGTGCTGTGCACAGGTGAATGGTGTGTGGGGTTGGTGCTTCATCTCTCAAGGACAAATTTTACCCTTCAAAGAGGAGCAGTTGGTCTGTAGTTAATTCTGTTTGCTTTTATTGTGGTGGTACATCCACAACTCATCCCATGTTAATATTTGGGCATCCATTCCTGTTGTGGAGGGAGGCTGGAAAAATGAGAGGTGCTGGCTCACAGCTGGGCTGAGCCTGGGGATAAAGTGTCCCATGTGCATCCCAGAGCCTGGTGGGAATGGGAACAGGAGTGCTGTGTTCTAGCTGGGCACCTGGAGGAGGCCTACGATGCAAACACTGCTTTTGTCCTACCTAAATCCCCAGGGCTTCACTGTGCTCTTGTCTGTATTCATGCTCTGCTGTATTTTCTCTGTAAATGCTGTTTTTTTCCCTCTAGAACGAGCTGTGGAGCTATGTATCCATCATTCACGCTAGCTTTGTTCCTTGTTTCTTTCCTCTCCCTTTCCCCCCAGATCTATCAGGTCCAGAAGGTAGGGCTTGCTTGCTTTCATTCTTGTTTGCATGCCTTCCCACCTTGCTACAATTTCAGAGTCACAGAGACATTTAGGTTGCAAAAGACCTCCAAGATCCTGGAAATCCTCTGAAGAGTGAGAGGTGCCCAGCAGGCTGTAAATTTCCATGTAATTCTGCCCTCCCCTCCCATAATCTTGTGGGGTGGACAATCAAGGGGAGTGGGGGAAGATGACCCATGTAAGATGTCTGGACAGGCACTTAATGTGATTTTTTTGCTACAACCTGTTTGGCAAAGAATAAGCAATAACAGAAAAGTGACTTGGCAAAGCAGGGTCAGAGGAGGGTATGGTGTCACTTTGTGTCACCTCTGTTCGGCCAAGAAAATCACTGGAAGTGTTTCAGGCTGGGCAAGCATTTAACATGTGCCAGCAGGAAGAATGACTTTCAGATGACTTTATTTGCACAAAGTCACTGAAGAAATCAGGGATGCTGTGTTTGAATTCATAATCTTTGAGTAAATAAACTGTATAGCCTTCCTTCCAACGGCACCCAAGCATTAAAAATGCTTTTGAGTTGTTTAATCCTCTCTCATCTCAGTTTAAAGTCATGATCTCTTCCCTCCACCCAATTTCCTTTCCATGATGATGGCAAAGAGGATGATAACAGTAGCTCTAACTGAGGTCACTTGCTAGGTAGCAACAGAGATTTTGGGGTTTGTGTCGTGATGTCTGGCTGTTCTACATTTTCAGCATGTGAACTGTGTGGCACCTAGAAATAGAATATTTACCGGGAGGGAGAAAGCACATTTTTCTTCAAGCCTGCCATTTTCTACCTTATTGAATATTTCTCTTTTTTTTCCCTGAGATATTTTTATTGCTTGCTGAGTGATGAATGTCTCCCTTAACCACGGTGTGCTTGGTTTTGTTGTGGCACTCCAGCTGCCCTAACTGCATGTCTCAAGGCCTGACCCAGCCCTGCACGTGCTTCTGGGGACTGCTGTTCTTCTCTTTGAGTGTGGATGTGTATGAAGAGAGCTGCTCAAATCATGTGCTCTGGTCTTTAATCCTGACCCCATCAATTTGGCAACAAATCTTCTCTCACTCCTGGTTTTATTTCTGGAGTTGACTGAACACTGAATGACTCCATGTCTGCCCATGGATCTACAGGCTCATTATTAATCTTTTTTATGGGAACTAATTTAACCTTCTGGTGCAAAAGCAGCCCCGTGGGAGCCCAGGAGGTTGTTTACTCCTGGTGTCCTGACATGGATGAGATGATAAGTGGGTTATCCTCCCAACATCCCATGGCGATTTTGTGAGTCTGGCAGTTTCACTGTCACTCGCTGAGCAAATCGCATCTGGAATTCTCTCTCAATGGTATTAACATCATTAATTATTGAATTGTATTATCACTTTCCGAGGTAGAAGGGAACCTGAGTCCAGCAAAGTCCTCTAAGTGAAACCTAAATGAGTGGAAAAGCACCGTTTCCTCCTTTAACCCATTGGAATCAGGCCTCTGGGGGCAGAACAGAAGAGTCAGTGTGGAGAGACAACTGAGAAAAGTGGCTGTGAGGGGTCAAAATACTTGAGAGCTCAAAAGCTGCCAGTTCAGTCCAGTATGACATGTGCTCTTTAAAAGATTATAAATTAATAACAGTCTCTGGGCAGCCTCATTCATAAAGATTTTTCTTTAGGGGATGTTAAGCACCTAGCTGAATAATTTGAAATGGAGAAGTAAAAGCCTATAAGTGGAACTTAAACTGTGGCATAGCAAGTCTTGTAAGGGCTGTTTCCTTATCTGCCTTTTGCAAGGCTGAACTCATAAGCCAGTGTCAGACAGCGAGGAGAACAGAGGACATGAAAAGGAAGCAGCAAACCCTAAAAAAATTACAAGTGTGTTTATGCATCCTTCCTACGTGTGAAAAAGGATTCTCCATTTCAGTAATGTGTTTCGGTTTTTTAAATTCATGTCTAGTGTTAGAAAATGTTCTCAGTCTGTTAATGGCTAAAAAGCCTCTAATAAGGCTTTACCTGACCTGCTTTACTACAAAGCATATAATCTGTAGGTTCTCATTGTGTACACAGCTCTGGGAGTTCATGGAATTTTCAGGGGTCATGCTCAGGTTGAGATGTGCATAACAGTTAATTTCATAACAAACTGGTGCATGGGTTATGAATCTGAAGTGGGAATAAGGTAATGCAGCACTGAAGAATGTGCAGCTGTTTGTTTTTGGTTTATCAATAAATAGTGAATGATGTTTTAAGGGTGAAAATAAAATTGCATTAATACCATTGAGTGAGTGCTAAAACCAGTGTGCAATACAGAACAGGCTTCTGATTTTTTTAAAAAAATAATTTCCTAGGGTTTTGGCTGTTGATACTCCTGCCTCCTCAAGCCTGTAAGAAAGCTCTAAAATACTTATTATTCTTCCTTAATTAAGCAGGATTTCCATTTGGCTATTGCTGCGCTTTAGGCCAATGATTTTAATTCACATGGGAATCATTTTAATGGGTGCCATTAAAAATGCAAAATTCCTGAGACCAGATTTGACAGGCTTGTCTGGGGAGGAAGAAAAGTCCCATTAAACCTGTGGATCTTTGAACATCTTGCTGCCTGGAGGAAGTTCAAGTTCATTGGGAAGTTCCCAGCGTTGTCATCGCCTGCACTGGTGGATCTTGTCCTCTTGTACCCTCACTGGTGCTGCCACTGCTGTCAGGTGGGTCCAACACAGGCAAAAAACCTGGTGCTCTGAAAGGAGCTCTGTGGAGCTCTAATCCAGCAAATCAGGGTGCCCAGAGATGAGCTGTGTCCAACTTGTCTGCCCAGTTTGACAAACCTTTACGGGAAACATGATTTGACAGCAATTTTCATCCTGGAAGTGTTCTGTGCTCTCCTCCCTTGTAATGAGTCTTGACTTAACTGGGTCAGGAATTCAAGACTCATTACTCTTCCTTGCTCCTGGTCCCCAGCACAGGGTTTTTTTGCACTGCTGAGGGAGAAGAAGCTGCCTGGTCATCCCCAAACTCCCCTTTCCCCTTTCCAGGCTGATTTTCCCAGGCACTTGCTGTGGAAGGCTCCGGTGCCACAGCACAGCTCTCCCTGGCACGTTCATGTGGAGCTGTGTGGCTTGGCCAGGGGCTGCCAGTGCATGTCTAAATGTTCTGTGTTTGCTTTTCTCATCTAAATTCTTGTTTTTTTTCCCTTTTCTGTCTGTAGAAATATTATGGGCTGGATACTAAGTGGGGAGACATCGAGCAATGGATGGTAGGACTTGCTCAACGTAGCTCGACAAGTTTTGCGTGTTCAAGTTCTGTGTAGTTCATAGAGTTTGAGATCCCTCAAAGTAGGTATTTTCATGCATTGGGAGTGTGAGTTCTGCTCCAGGCAATCCCACAGTCTTGCTTTTCCAGCTGAAATGTGAGTTTTGATCAGGTTAAGGCTGGCAAGGACTGGGTTAGAGCCATCTCTTTTTACAGACCCATGTCCGCGCTCTCACTGGAAGATTAGGTTAGGATGAAAAACCTATTAAAGCCCGTTGGGACACAGCGAGTATTTGTGCTCATTTTACTTTCTGTGGGTTTCATCACCATTTGAGTCTTCTTGAATCTGCCTTCAGGTAAATTGTGGGCAAGTTTCAGAGATGCTGTTTCATTTCCCTTAGCACTAACTGGCCCAGGGGAATCCCTCAGAGGAATTATTACTGCTATGATGGCAATCTTCTCTTTTTTCCAATAATACAACGTCCTGGATTTTAGAATTTGCTAAAACCAGTGAATACCAGCTACAGACTTGGCCACTAACAACATCTGTTTTAACACCCGTGGTATGAGATAAAGAAGTTGTTAATGGGCTGAAAATCACTGACTTCAAATGGCAAAACTGAACAGCTGGCTTCCAGTGTGGAAAGTAACTTCCCAAACTCCCCAAATTCCTTGGTCTTTGATAATTAATCAGTAAATACTGGTCTGCATGGACCACCCACCCACCCCAGGACTCACACTCAATCTCCAGATCCTTGCTGGATGAGCAAAGCTCCACATTACTGGCAGTTCCCTTGCTTGGAAATCAGCTCACCTGTAAGAATCTGTTGACTACAACGTTAAAACCTTTTATTTTTTTTGTTGTTTTCTACTGCTGTCCCTAAATTCAGTGGCAAACAAATTAGTTAAAATCAACTTGTTGAAATGTAAAACATTTCCAGCGTTGCAGGGGCTGTGTAGCAGAGGGGAAGAAGAAATTGGGGGTCTCAGAGGAGGGAGGAAGGGTTTTTCTGCTTTGACAGGGTGTCACCTCCTGTTGTTTGGTTTAACTTTACTGGCTCCTCAGCGTGGCTGGAGTTCAGAGTGTGTTTCTGGAACGCTCTGTTGCTGTGTCTGTGCCCTCAACACCTCCCTCTGTTTTCTCTCTGCTGCCTTGGTAGGAAGACAGTGAGCGTTATTCCCGTAGAGCCCGAAGAAATGCCTCGGTCAGTACCTACTTTTGCTTTTTTTTTTTTTTTTTTGTTTAGCTAGACATTTCAGGTTAAGAAAACAGACAGTGCATAAGGCACTTCCTTCTCAAAAGAAAAGAACCAAAACAAGCTCCCACCAGCCCCGGCAAGTGGAAACCCCAAAGCTACTTCCTGACTTCTCTCCCCAGTCACTCCAGGGAGTTGTTGCAAATGTGCAAGAATAAAAGGGGTGGAAAGTGGGGAAATAACCTGTTTGGAGTGTTGAATGTTTATTAAAGGGCCAAGAGCATAGAGTAGGGAATACCTGGGCAAGCTCTTCCCTCACCCTACAGATAAATGTTTGACTGTTTCTTGGGCAGGGTATGATTTCATTTGCTTTCTGCTTATACTTTCAATGCACTTTTTTTAAAAAAACGTTGAGTTTGTGCATCTTTCCTTTCCTTCTGTCCCATCAAAGCCATCAGCATTTGCCTCAGTGCCTGTTACCTGTGTTCTTTTCACTGTTTTTTTGTCTCTACACTTTCTCTCGCTAGGCTTCGGATGAAGATGAGCGCATGTCAGTGGGTAGCCGTGGAAGCCTGAGGGTTGGTAAACTCTTCAATCTCTGTGTGCATGTCTGTGTACAGCTGTCACTGTCCCCCTGTGCCCCTGCACTCCCAGGGGATCGTCCTTCACCTGTTCCATGTTGGGTTTTTTCAAGTACACACGCAGATCACTGATTCTCTGCAGTGCGTGCCCTGTGCAGGACCCTTCGTGGTCACTGTTCCTCACTCTTGCAAGAAGGACTTAGCCAAGACATTGGTATCTGCATGCACCTTGTAAGCTCCCCTGTTTCACATTGTACTGGAAATTTGGGAAGGGGAAGTGTTAGGGGGTCAGTATTTATTAGCTCAGGGAAGCAGAAGTGATTGATCAATGGAATTAAGTGTTGAGCACTTTGGAATTGTAAGTGAATACTCACAAAATAACAGAATATCCTGAGCTGGAAGGTACCCACAGGGATCATTGATGCAGCTCCTATCTCTGCACAGATACCCAACAATCCCACCCTGTACATCCCTGGGAGCAGTTTTAAAACACTCCTGGAGCTCTGGCAGCCTTCCCTGGGGAGCCTGGGCGGTGTCCAGCACCCTCTGGGGGGACAACATTTCCCTGATATCTAACCCAAAATCCCTCTGACACAGCTCCAGGTGTTCCCTTAGGTCCTATCACCGGTTACTCACTTTAAAAATGCTTTAGAAATACTTGAAAATCATCTGCAGGCCTGAGTTTTGTGGAAGGTGGGATTAGTAAAGCACTGAATACTCATCTCTAGGAAAAATTCAAACAGTTTTTTCCTCAAAACGCCCAGACAGTATTTTCCCAGATAATTTGCACATTTATATAAGCCTTAACTCTGTTATAACATAGAGTCTAGAAGACTGATTAAAAGAAAAAATTTAAATGTTGCTGCTGCAGAGCCTGCTCAGGGACCCCACTGTAAAATTGCACAAAATGTGCTTAAAGATATGAAGTGCTGCCTTGTTCCCTTTTTAGTGGAATCCTTATTGCTACTTATGAAATTCTGTTAAAATCTTTTTTCCTGAAGATGACAAACCTGAGTGCTTTTCCGAGCTGGGAGATGCCTCAAAGATCCAGTGAAGAAAATCCTCTCTGCACAGTGAAAAGCAGTGTTTATTTTACTTAGGGTTAAATGTTGACATATGGAAATGTTTTTTTGAGGGAAAAAAAAAATCTCTAGTTCAGTTGAAATATCAATTCTGTCTATTTAAAAGGTGATGACAACACAAAGGGGTTATTTACACACTGGCTCTATGCTTATAGCACATCTTCATCTGAAACACCTTCTCTTCGTGGAAATCCAGCGCTGATTCTTTCTGAGGTGTTTTTGCAGCTCAATCCTGTGGTTTATATGCATTTAAAGAGCAGAAGCCCTGCATTCTGCCTCCCCACCATCCCTTGGAGAAGCTCCTCTTGCCCTTTTTACCAGAGCAGTCTCACAGGCTGTGATAACCAGCTCTGGCCTGGAGAGCAGCAGCCTCCAACTGCTCTGTGGGATGGCCCCAAATTCCTCATATTTCTGCAAGAAATGTCCTTCTCTGACAGAAGGATCTGCCTGAAACTTTCCACACGGATGTTTCTCAGTGATGTTGCACAGGCCTGTCCCCATAAAGCAGAATTTGGTGGATGTGCTGACATTTTGGCAGGCACAGGAAAAGTTTTGACAGAGCTTCCTTCCCTCATTCTTGTGTCACTGGGATTGTAGAAGCATGCAAATATTTGCTAGTCTGAACTGAAATTTATCCTTCTACGTCTTCTACTTGTTTTATTCACAACTAATTGATAGAATCACAGAATGGGTTGAGTTGGAAGAGACCTTAAAACTCATCTTATTCCAGCCCCTGCCATGGGCAGGGACACCTTCCACTATCCCAGGTTTCTCCAAGCCCCATCCAGCCTGGCCTGGAACACTTCAGGGGCAGCCACAGCTTCTCTGGGCAACCTGTGTCAGGGCCTCACCACCCTCACAGGGAAGAATTTCTTCCTAATACCCAATTTAAACCCTACTTTTTGACAGTTTGAAGCCATTCTTTGCCTTCCCAGGGTGGATTTACAGGAGATGCTTTAAGTAATTTGACCACGTCTCTGGCTAATCTCTGAAGATTTGGCTCTTGCTGCATCTGTCTTCAAAATAACAAAGCCAAAAGCCCCATAAATTTTGACCAACTTAAAAAATTACCTGAGTTCTATTGCCCAGATTGGTTTAGGACAAAAACAGTTGCCTTGTGCCCACGAAGGATTTATAAAATGACTTGGAGAATTCTGAATGATGCTGTCTTTTTGGATATTTGAAGGCTGTCCTTCCATCACTGCAGGATGCCACATTTGGAAAATTCATCTTCCATCTTTGGCACTCTGGCTCCTTGCACTGTGAGGTGGTGCCAGGGGTTCCTTTTAGTAGCTGTGCTTCTTTTCTGTACAGGAAGTTTTCACTGAAATGAGCCAATATCAGACATTCACTTCTCCCTAGGGCTTCACCACCCCACTGATCTGTGTGAGTTTCACTCTGGACTTTTCTCCTGGAGTATTTTTGAAGTGGATGCCTGGAGTGCAGGCACCAGAGATGTGTTGAGGTAGCTTTTGGGGAGCTTCTGGATGCTTCTGGCAGGCAGCACTGCACACTGCAAAACTCCAGAGATATTCATCAGACCAGGCCAGCAAATTGACTGGAGCTCCACTGCTGTGACTGTGCTGCAAACAGAGACCAGGGATCCAGGGAGCCCTGGCTTGGCTGTGGCTCCTCAGCTGCCATGGAGAGGTTTCTTCAGCAGCTTTTCTGATGATCCTGAACCCATCCACAGCTCCTGCCACTCCTGTTTCAGGAGTTCATGCAAATTCTGTGTCATGCAGGTTTTCCTAGGGAAGCTCAGTAACATCAGCCTGTGTTTGTTGAGGCTCTCGAGCCTCCCTTCAGTCTCTTCTCTGTTTTATTTGTCTTGGTTCTCTCACTTCCCAGCTGGCTGTCTTTAAACCAACACCATCAGCATGAAATATTGTTGTGTTGTCAATCACTCGTGATTAATTCATGCATTCTTGTTTTGTATCTCCTCTCAACTTCCAAACTTGTGCCTTTGTGCGAGAAATCCTGCATTACCAAAGTTCTTTAGTTGGGATTTACATCTCCCTGTCTACTTTTGTGTTTGTTTGTTTGTTTGTTTTGTTTTGGGGAGTTCCTTTGATTGACATAACTTGTGTTTTCATTTGTATTCTGATTTTCCTCTCCTCTCGTGCCTTTACAGTCTCATTTGGAATATGCCAGCAACTACCCAGTGGTGAGAATAGTCTGCAAGTTGCAGAGTGTGTGTGTGTGTGTTCAAAAACTAATCATGAAGAAGAAGCTAACACAGGTTGTGATAACTGCTCTGAGATCAGGGTGATCTGGAAGGATCCTGAGGCAGTTTGTGGTCTGTGATGTCAGGATGCCACTTCCCTCTCCTCCTGCTCTGACGCAGTTCAGATGAGAAGTGACAAATGATTAGAGAGGTCTGAGCTAGGTTTAGCTCAGTAGTTACCACAGGCAGAGTAGAATGGCTTGGATTTCCCCTAAAAAACTGTCTCTGTTAAAGCCTGTCCTTTGTTGGACCAGATGCCTCTGGATTTATTTCAGCACCGATCTGGAAAGGAACAAAACTCTCATAAACTCACCTTAAATAGGTCTAGTAAAGGTGACAGGAAAAACACACCACCTAGCAAAGCTGCAGCTTGTGTTACCTTCACTTTAGAGGACAAAAAAAAGAACAGAAAGGGGCAATGAGGATTAAAGCTCAGTTTAAAACATTTCCTGCTGCCTTGTGTTGGACTGGAGGTGTCCTGGTGTGTGCAGGAAGCAAAGTGGGGAGTGCAATTCTATAGATCCTCCTGCCTTTCCCCTCTCGTTCATTCCCGCCGCTATTTCCAATAGGGATGCAGCGTGACCTACATCCCAGAATAGTTCCAACACATTTGGTTTTTGCATGGCTGTATTGATACGGCCAGGATGGACAGCTGGTAATTCATTGACTGAGCCCAGGCAGTGTGACTGATTGGAACTGCAACTGCTAAATTTAACATGACTTTAACAATATTCCCTAATGAGCGGGTGTTTGACTCCGAGGGTGGATTCACTGCTGGGCTGTGCTCTGCTCATGTTCCTGCATGGGGATGTGCATGCCTGGCCCTGGATGGGTGTGCACAGACTTGATCTTCTCACCCTGCATTCTTAATCCTACTGCAGGCTGGATTAGAGAGTGAGAGGACCAAAAAGAAGAACTACTCCAAAGCAGTATGTATTTTTATCTGTCTCAGAGAGGGTTCTGCCTACAAAACCCACTGTGGCAGGACAAGGAGTGTGTGCCAGTGTGAGAGCTGCCACCCAATGTCAAGGATACACCAGAACTGTAACGAGCATCAGTTCATCTCCAAAATGTGGGATCGATGCCTTGGGGTTTTAGTTTTTATATTTTTCAGAATCTCTGCTGCTTAGTGTGCAACTCTGAAACTTCATATTAGGTGTTAGTAAAGTCTCTTCACAGGGAGTCAGACAAAACAATTCCTTTCTAGCTGGAGAATTAAGGACAACCAGTACCCAAAAATCGACAATGATGAGGGAAAGGGGGCAAGCCCAGGGGGCTGAGACTTCATAGTCTGGGGCTGTGGTTGGATAACTGACCCCAAGATGTAGATGAACCAAAACTTACAAAAGTGTAAAAACTCGTGACCAGGATCCATCTTGGATTTAATTTGGGTGTAGCCATGGCCAGGCTCGTGCACTGCCCAAGGTGGATCCTTTCAATAAATTCCTATTTTATTCCTTTTGCTCTGTCTAGTGTCTGTTCCAGGTCAGCCTTTCCAGGCAACAGTATAATCCAAACTCTTATTTCGGTGCTGTACATAAAGAGCACATGGAAAAACTCCAAACCTTGCCAGAGCTACCTAACTTGAGCTGTCACATGGCACAGAAATAGGCAGTAATTGAGAGAATATTACAGAATCCCAAATAGTTTGGGTTAGAAGGGCCCTTAAAGCCCATCTCATTCCACCCCATGTCATAGGTGAATCATGTGGGGAGCAATTCCAGGCAGGTGGAGAGGGCAAAGTGGGAATATTTCCACGGAGGGAAGGCTCCACATTGCTAGGTTGAGGCTCTTTGCTATGCTAGAAACGAGCAGAGAATTTTTCTGAGAGATGGAGTTTGGACGTGGGATTGAGAAAGCCTGAGGGAGCAGCATGAGCCACAGCCTGAGGTAAAAAACATTACAAGCAGAAATGGACACAGTGGCAGTGAAATGCTTTCCTTTGTCTGCCAAAAGCAAGAGGAAAATACAGAGAGAAATAGGGTCACTAAAGGGAGAAAAGTAAAATGGAGTCATTTTAGCCTGTCTAGGATGCAGTTTTATTTGTTCCAGTTTTCATGAGGGTCAGATGCTTTGCATGTAAATGTAGCCTAGAATAAAGGTCAGCAAGGGCTGCTAAAACTGACCCTGCTCTCCAAGAGCTGCCTGGAGCATTTGCCTTCAAAAATATGCACTGGAGAGGATGGGTCAGAGGGGCAGGGGAAACAGCCTCAGCTCTGGGGCTTCAGGCTGAAATCTGAAAGACACAGGGCAAACGAGGCAGATTCCTTTAGAAGGGCCTGAACTGTGAAGTTATAACCAATTAACCTGGGCTGGTGGAAAATTCATCATACCAATTCAACCGGAGTTCCTAAGCAGGGTAATTATTTAAGGGCATAAAGGATGTTACTGTAAATTGACTGTAACGTGAGGTTAAGCGAAACTTTGGGCCAGATCTCGTTCTTGTAAAAGGAATGTGGAAAATAACTTTGTTAGAAAACAAGACAGCTGGAAAGGATCTCAGCTGGTCTGCTCCCATCTAAGACAGCATCATCTGGGTTTTTTAAGGAGGGAAAAGCAGTTCCCCAGGAGTCTGGCTGGCTAAGTGCAGGGAGTGAAGGCAGTTTCATACAAGGTTAGAGTGAAAATAGCGATGATAAACAGGAGACAACTTGTCAAAATGGAATAACAGTAAGCAGAAATGAGGAATACCACATCTGGGAAAAATGAAGGTACCATTAGAGAGTAATAGGATGGTTCAGATAGTGATCTGAGGTTACATTTAGTCAATATTACACGGCTGAAAAAGGCAAACAAGTCCTTAGTGTAGCAATAAAAGGGGTGGGGGAGGGAATTGGTCTGCTGGAGATCCATTCTAACCATTCTTCAGGGGAAGCGTTGGAAAAATTCAAGGGGCTTGGAAAAAAGCCACCAACCAACCTGGTAAAAACTAGAAAGAAGCCAAGCTGTTTGAGAAAGCTACAGGAGTATTTCAAATCAGTTCTTGAATAAAAGAAACTTGGATGTTTGCCTTCCATTTGGGGTGATAATGTTGCATTTCAATAGAGAATTTAAGCTTTTCCCAGAAGTAGCTTTCCCAGCTTGGCTCTGAACTGGTTTCTAAGTTAATTTGTTTAATTTTTTATGGAAGCTGCTGTAGAGTAGATGATAAATATTTCTCTTGGAAATTGATTTAGATTGGTTCTAGTGGATATTCATTTCTGGAACGCATTAAAACGGACTTTAAAACTTAATTTTAATAGAAATTCTAATTAAATTCCCACTAAACCCCCACCCCAAATACACAGAATGCTTCCTTGTTTTCTGTGCTAAACCAGGGCTTGTTGTGAGGTGATACCAGAGCAGTGAATTGCTGTGGAAACCCGAGCTTTTAATGCTATCTATTGAGGAGACTTTTTTGTCTGTCCTCTCATCTCCACCACTGCATTCCCAAGCTCAGGACTGAGTCACTGTGATTGTTTTGTTTTATTCCCAGCACTGCTGCCACAGGGATTTGAAGCACCTCACGTTGTTTATGGAACAGTCCTTCTGGGCCTGTTTGTTTATCCTCCTTTGAGGGAAAGCATCTTCCTGACACCAGGGAGGACAACTGAGCCCACCCAAATCTCTCACCAGCCCTCAGACTGCTACAGAATCCTGGGCTGTGGCAGGTGGTCTCTGTCTGGGTTTAATTTTGATGCTCAAAATCAAAAAAGAAGAGAATTTATACAGTACTGCATGTTTATTAAGCTGGATTTCTCACATAGAGTTAATTCTTCTACTACAATTTGCTGTTTTTTTGGTGTTTAGCTGCCTGAGGTGTAAGTGATATATGCTATAGTCATATATGCCCTTTGTTGTAGCCTCTGATCTCCTTTTTGTCCCCATTTTATCCCCTATTCCCTTTACAGAGTGTTTGAATACAAGGGAGGCAAAAAAGAAAAAAGGGGGATCAGAAAGGGCGAGCAGGAGTATCCTTGACATTTTTGGCTGTTCTGGAGGTAGTGACACAAATGTTCGTGTCCTCATGTTTGAAATCATGACCTAATCCTGCACTGCTCCTGTTCCTGGTGTATCTTTGAAAAGTTCTGTCTCTGCCTTTGCTTTTCATAAGTGATGACATTTGCTTAAAAATTCCCTTTGGGGGTCTACGTCAATTTTTCTTCTCTCCATTTTGTCTTTCTTTTTTTTTTTTCCCCCTCCTTTCCTTCCATAACAGACCAATGGTTATGAGGAAGACGTGTATGGATCATCTCAGAGCAGAAAATCTAGCAGGGTTAGTAGATGATTTCTATTGCTATAAAATTCTGTTACTCCATTTAATGGGATTAAAGCTAATTAGCAGATTCTTTTCGCTGGTGAAGCAGGTTTTTCCTGTCTTGCATGTTGTGGGTTTGGAGTTTGTCAGACACTGGAGGTGCAGCAAGAAGATCTCTGAGAAATAAATCAAAAAATCAGGCCCTGAGTGGGGAGTCTCAGAAATTGATACAGAAAGATCTTGGAAGCCAGAACTGCTTTAACTTGTAAACAAAATTGGGTGAAAATTACATTGTGCCAGCACTGGCAGGGAGGATTTCCACGTGCTGGAAACAGAATGGGTGCTTTTCAACCTCTACAAGGCGTTCATGAATGTCCTCATTTAGTCCATGCCTTGAGATTTGCATAGTTAAAATTGACTTTGCATTTTGAATTTTCCCCTAATGCACGTTGTTTATTTGAAGTTTGCTGAACTAAATGCCTTTGGTTTGTTTTTGTTTTATTTTTTTTTTTTTCCTTTATAAACCGTACCCTAGGGTTTCTGGAAATGCCTGCGGAGCTGAAGAGCCAGTGCAAGTGTTCCCACTTAGTCCATTAATGTTAAGTAGCTTTCATTTCCAGTCCGAAAAGGCTTAATTATTAACTCCATTGTGAGGATGCAGGTCACAATGTTCCCTCCTGTCCCAGCACAACAGGTGTTGTGTATCAATTACAGCAACTCTGGCCCTGCTTTGTTAAATATTGGGGATTGTGCAAATGGTTTAAAGGGGTTGTCCAAGCACAGCCTGGGGGCAGAGGGGGAACTCTTTGGGTTTTTTTTTCTCCCCTGTATTTTAACAAAGCCAGACAAAAGCTCAGAGCCTGTTGATCTTTGTGCTATCAAGGCTTCTAAAGAAAATTATTGGTATGCAGCCTAATCAGTGTTTAGGCCAAAAATAAACTAATTTTAAGCCTCTATTTAGCCAAGTGTTTGAGCAATAACACGCTGAACACAGAGAGTTCAGGGGTTACTTTGTAGGCATGAAGTGAAGCAGGAGCCTGGATAAACAGTGGGACCTGATACTTCACATCCATTTAAAAATTGTTGCTGCCATGTAATTTAGCTGGCATGATGTGGATAAGAGACAATGAAATACTGTTACTTGAACTGCTAAGAAAACAGCCTGTCCTGTTTCTTGCTGACCCATTTGATGAGTTCAAGGAGGTTTATTCTGTCCTACTGGTGATAAATGATGTTCTTACTCTTTACTGACATATTCCACTGCTCCCAGGACCACAAAATATCTGCAAAGAAGTTGTCCAGGGAGAAGAGGTTGTTTGGATTTCATTTAAATAATTTAAAGTCATCCTGGAATTAGCATTTGCAGCATGGAGATTTAGTCTGAGTAGGGCTTAATTACAGCAACATCGTTAGTTCTTGTAGTTCCATTGCTGCTTGGATTAATCATTAATTAGGAGTGGGAGGAAAGTTTGGGGGTAACTCAGAAGAGCTGAAACTTCAAACCAAATTGATGCCAGCCTGGCTGGCATTCACTTTTTGGGAATATTCTCCCCAAAAAGCCCAAGCTGAATCATAAAGATTGTCAAAGTGACAAGGAAAAATGGAAAAGAGGAAAATTCTTCAGGACAGCAGGGAAACGATGAATGAACCTGCTGGCAATGGCTTTTCCAAAATAGGTGTCCAGTTTTAAGTGACAGAATGGAGTGATCTCCATGTGGACACTGCACTTGCAGTGTCACAAATTGATCCCTTAAATATGATTAATGCCATGTGCTTAAATGGCTTAAATAGTGCAGATTGCAAACTCTAAGCAGGAGTGAAAGTAATTTCTTGAAGTTCAGTTCAGGTTTCCTTTCAGTAAAAATCTCATTTTACAGGCATTGTCTGGGGGGTTTTGGTTTGTGGTTGGTTGTTTCTTGGGTTAGGTTTTTTCTGAGGTTGGACAATGATTTGCCCTCAGCCTGTACCTGTGGGTATTGTGTTATATCTAAAGGTCTGCTTGCTTGCAGTGAGACTGAAGAAAGCAAACAAATTTCTCTAATTTGTGTCAGATCTCCCTTCTTTGTGAGGAAATGAACACCTCCACGGACCACAGTGAAGCAAGGATGAGTTAGGGTTTGTGAGGAGCTGACTGCTGCAAACAGAGAACCTTGGCTGTTCTAGACCCCCAGGAGAAATGCTTGGAGAGGAAAGGTGTCAGGGAATGGGTGTAGAAGGAGAGTAGCAAAGGAGGTGAAGGCCTGAGATCTTTGAGAACAGCTATTCCTCATTAAGATCCCCTAAGTGGACCAAAAGTGCAGGGATGACTGGATGCAAGGCAGGAAGCAGGGAAAGAAGGTCTTTCATTTAAAAGAAATGTTTAATGTACATAATCTCTCTTCTTAGAGAAGAGTTTTCTCCCCACTCAGTCCTGCCATATCTGACAGTGGGTTGCTCACATTGCTGCTGGGCACAGGCAGCAGTTTTGGTCCCTGCCTTTGCTCTCCATCTCCCAGGATCTCCCCTTCTCCTGGGGGTGTACCTTACAGGACACAAACTCCTCAGGATCTCAGGAGGAGGCTCACCAGCTCTCTGACCAGTGCATTTTCCCAGTGCTTCAAAGCTCCCACAGTTTTCATACAACCTCACAGCTTTAATGCAGTTCTCTCTTCTTTTTGCATCTGTGACTGCTTTGCAGTTCGTAATCACCTAATTTACTTTTTCCTTCCCATTTAAAGGAATAAAGAATGAAGCTGAGTTCTCAAGGAGTTGTTGTTTTTTTTGTTTTTTTTTTTTAATGCAGGCATCCTACTACTCTGACCTGAGTCTCCCCAACAGCAGCTATGCTTCCACATCTCAGCTTTCTTCCCAAAATGGAAATTGGGTCTGTTGCCTTCTGGCTTCACCTGGCCTGGATTTTGTTTGGATAATACAACCTCTTGTACTTAGGAATCAATGTGGACCAATTGTCGAGAGTCTCTTTGGCTCTTTTTAGTGAAACTTTAAACAAATCAGACCTTTTAAGATTGGAATGAGTAATGGAAAACTGTTTTCAAATGAGCACAATCAGTTTTCCTTTGCTGCTCCTCCCTTTCCTTGTCTGCCATTGGCCTTAATTGCTCTGGAAAGATAAGGGAAATCTTAATTACCTGAAGTTCTCTATTTGAAGCAGCATGTCAGTCTAGTGAGCTTGAGGCAATCCAGTCTGCACGACACGAAATTACAGAGAAGCAAATTCTCAGAGTGCTGGAAGAACATCAGTGAAGCTGGAGGTTGGATTGTCCCCTGTGTGTGGCAGAGCTCCAGCAGTGCTCCAGGTCCTGCCTGGGGTGTGGATGGAGCACTGGCAGCAGGACCTGGGCTGGGGATCACTGCTGGAGCCTCTCTTGCACCCAGTTCTGCCAGACACAGCGAGTGCTCTGGGTTTGTTTAAGGGCATGGTTACTAACACTTGTTTCAGGCTGCTCTGATTGAACCCTTTGTAACTTTTTTCCTGAATTAGTTGGGTTTTCTCTGTGTTTGTGACTAATAAACCACACAGGAGATTATCTTAAAGCTGTGTGAAACACTCACAGTATGAATGTTGAAGCACTTTTTGTGTAGCTTTTTCTGGCTTTGGTTGAAGTGAAGAGAAACCCCCTTTCTGTCTCCTGTACACAAATGTGTGGGAGACAATAACAGCTTAACAACCTAAAATTAAATTATGCTGTTTTGCTTTTACATGGTGTCGTGTCCTCCCTTCCTGTAGGAAATGCACGTGTCTGGTTGGTATTCTTAGTCTTTGGGAGCTGAGGTCTAATGCTTTCATGGGGGAGATGACTAATATTCTAATATTCTCTGTACTGGCTTTCCTTCTGTTGTCGTGTAGTGATCCTAATCTCTCACCAAGAGCGTTAATTCTGCTGTAGGCTTTTTTTTTTGTTTGTTTGTTTCATTTACTCTGCCAAACCAAAAAGTGTTGTGCTTGTCTCCCTCAGCCCTCCCTGCTGTACAGCGATGCCCTGCCAGCCAGGAGTTACAGGGTTTGTTGTGCTGATGCTCTGAGCACCCACACCAGAGCCACTCACCCCAGCCATGCACTTGTTGTCTGTCATTCTTCTTGGGTGCCTTTTTCTCCCCCCCTGGTGTCCCATCCATCTGAATGCCACCTGTGTGTGTGTGTGTGATGCTGTTTGTGCACACCTGGATTTGCTGATCCTTCCTTTAATTCCTGTTGGGACTGTGCTCACAGGGTTGTGATGCTGCCACGGGTGTTGTGTCCATGTGGAGAGAGTTGTGTTCCTTCCTTGCTGTATTGCTGACAGAGAGGCAACATCAATTCTTGCTGGTTGCTTAACAGCTAACAAAAATCTGTTCACAAATATTTCTAGACAAATTCCTGCCTTCTTGTTCAAAATGAGCTCCTCGGAATTTTTTCTCAAAGGAAACTCAAAGGTAGAGTTTCCTTCTCCTCTTGTGTTTTCTGAGCCATATTTCTCAGGAATAATAAAATATGCGTTTTCCTCCTATTTTATTGATTTACTAAACCAGCTGGTAAGCGAAGCTCATCAGCTGGGAGTTTTTTCCTCTCACTGCCAGCACCAGCAAAGAAGGTGAAACAGGTGGGCAGAGTTGAAGAATTGATGTAGCAATTTGAGGACAGGCCAAGTGTTGAATTAAAGCTGATTGAAGCCCTGGGAGAAGGGTCAGAAATGCATGGGGCGTGATGGCCTCGGGGCTGTGTCAGACCTTGCACGTTGGATCTCCCCTTGCATGCTGCCTGTGGTTGCACACAGAAGATGTCCCTGTGCCTGTCCTTGCCCACCCTGCTCCTGCCACTTGTCCTGGGTGGATTCGTGCCTGTGCTCACTCCTGTGCTGACTCTGTGTTTGAATTGTAGGCGTCTGTGTACGAGGAGAGCGTGTACAGCGGGAGCCGGCGCTATAGTGCCCCTAGTTCCCGTGCTGTAAGAGCTTTTCTGCTTTTCCCTGCTCTGTGCCTGTCCTCTGCCAGGCTGAGGAACATTTCACATGGGCTCTGTGACATCCAGGGCCTGCTGCTCTAGGCAGCAGCAGTGGGAGCACCATTCCCGCCAGCTTCCATGAAGTAATGAGTTCCCATCGATGGGAACTGTGGGACAGGGAATCCAGTTCTGCCTTGCGCTTGGTTTGCAGATAAAACACCTTACATGAAGTCTTTTCCCTCCCTGAGACTTAGTACTTCTTGTCAAAACTGAGAAAAATACAAGTTTTAAAAAATAATCAGCCAAAAATTTAAAAATAAGGTTTAAAACCACGTAAGCAGTGTAAAGTAAATGATTTTTGTGAATACATGACTCGCTTGGTTTTGTTTCTTGGATTTATATTCAAATATATTTCATGTTCATATATATGAGACAGTGCTTCCAAAATGTGTTTTCTTGAGAGTGAAGGGCTCTGTCGTGGATGGAGAGCAACAATATAAGGAATGACCATATAAATTGTTTCCTTTCAAAAAGAGAAACTCCAGGACTCTGGTTGCAGATTAAAGGGCAGAAAATGCCTTCACCTTTTCTCTGTGGGTGTTTGGGCCAGCAGTCCATCTGCTGCTGTTGCATCCACCTGGGGAAAAAAAAAAAAACAAACCAGCCAATCTCTTTAGATTTTTAAATCCTCCTCTGTGGGCCCACTGCTTATTCTGCCACTCCTCCCCTTCAGTGATGATGGCAAAACCCAACCAACCAAAAAACCCCCAGCAAAAACAAGTAACCACCATCTAAGGCCATAAGACTGAAAAGACAGAGCACTGATGTTATGTTGCCTTTAAACATCACGTTTTTATTAGCTTGGAGAAGGAAAGACTCTCAAGAATGCTTACTAAGCACGTGCTAGTCCTTCAAGGGCTGTGCCATCCTTTTGCCATCCCACTGATTCACAGCTGTGAGAAATAATTTACAGCAAACCTGTCAGCCCAAAACCTGTTTGCAAGTCTTTCACGGGCTGTCAATGGCATCAGCAGAGAACAGTGACTAAAACATGGGTGCTTTCCCCTCCCTCCATCCCCATCCCACCCTGAGCCACAGGTATTTGTGTGTAAGCCAGCATTTCCAGTTCCTGCTGCCTGGAGTAATGGGAGAGTTTGAACTGTGGTTGTTTTAATGCCTCTGAACCTTGCAGCACTTTTAATGTGGACAGGGAGTGTCACCTTGGGTGGCTGCTTCCAAAAAGTGTTTTTGGAACATCAGGTGAATGCAGGGGGTGAAGCTGAAAGTGGCCTTGCTTGGTCACAGCCACTTACTTCCATAGTCAGAATGTACAGGGAGCAACTGTGGAATAAGTAGGGCCTGGAAACATGAATATGGGATTCAGCAGTAGTTAAAACTTTCCCTGTCATGTGTTTCAAATTTATTCTAAACCCTTCTTTTGTTAAACATGAAACACTGTGGTGACCACACAGAATCTGTATTTTTACTTCAGTGCTTTTTGTCTTTAATTTAGGAGTTACTGTGTGATTGGCAATAGTTGTAAACAGTGTGCAGCAGAGTTTTATAGCGTGCATTTTCTCACCTCTGAAACGAAGATCAAAGCCAGTGTAAGACACGGAGTCCCAGAATGGTTGGGGTTGGAAGGGACATTAAAATCCACCGTGTTCCCACCCCCTACCCTGGGCAGGGTCACCTCCCACTATCCCAGGTTGCTCCAAGGCCCATCCAACACTGAACATTGCAGGGGTGGGGCAGCCACAGCTCCCCTGGCCACTCCAGGTGAATCCAAGGACACTGCCCTGCCTGGGGGCTGTGCACCCTGCACGGGATGTTTTGTGGTCAGTGGCTGCCCCTGTGCTTGTGCTCTGGCTGGGGTTATTTCCAGCTTACCCTCTCACCATTTATTAGTGCTGCAAGCTTAATTTGCAGGTGATGCTGTGCTGCTTTGTTCCTTTGTGACTAATGATGCTGGAGCAGCCCTGCAGTGGCTTGGCGAAGGCCTGGCTGTTTCTGTAAAGCTAAAGAGTCCAGGAATTCCTGTAGTGGCCAGGTGTCTTAATAAAAAAGAACATTGAAAAAACCCACAGCATCTCCAAAATATGATAATTCTTCAGATTTCTCTGTGTTTGTATCTGAGAAATCCCTGAAATAAACTCATTATTTCCAGAGTGAGTTCTAGTTCTTTTTCCTTGATGCTTTAAACTTTCTCATTTCCCTGCTCCATTTTCATTGCATTAGAACCTCTGGAAATAAAACAGCATAGACACGTTCTTTGTCCTTGTCAGCCACCAGCCAGCCCTGTCCTGCATCTTTGCTTAGATGTTCCTTTTAAAAAAAGCTAAAAGACTTTCTTTGGCAGGAGATGGGGACTGCAGGTGCTGGAAAACCAGGAGAGAGACTCAGTCTCTGAGCTGGCCTCAGTTTTTACTTTAATCCCCACATAGATGGATGTGTCTTCCTTTGGCCTGCAGAGCACAAATTCATTTTATATGTGCACAATGTTGGGAACATGGGAAAGTGATTCATCAGAGAGCTCTTGGAAAGTAGTAGGATGGAGCCTTTTGTAGAGAAACTGAATTGTTTATTTGTCACTGGAACCTGAAGAGGCATAAATAAATGATTGGTATTTTAAGAATTGAATGAAAACTCTGCTTGTCTTAATTTTCAAAGTAACAATTCTCTGACTTTCATTGCTGTTCCTTTGTCCAACTGCACGTAACCACCTCTTGAACTAATTTCAGATGTGATGCTCTACATCCTCTCCTGCTTCCCTTGCCCATTCTGACACTTTTCTCTTTTCTCTGCCTGCTGTTCCTGGTTTTCCTGCTGCAGCCTTCTGAGTACAGCTGCTACCTTGGTTCGGGATCTCGGGCATCCTCCAGAGCCAGCTCTGCTCGGGCCAGTCCAGTGGTGAGCTCCTCTATTTCTCTTTGGCTCTCAACTCTTTCATTCCTCTCTTCTTCAAGGTTTTTTTTTGGTACAGAAAAGTCACTGTCTTTCATGAGGCAGTTTGTTAAGTATTAATTGGACCTTGTGGGCAGTGCTTAAGACAAAGAAACTACAGGAGAAATTGCAAAACTGCATTGATTTCTATGCAGATGCATGTTTTTACAACAGAAAGGACACTTTGGACTCTCATGACAAGGCAATATTTGCTTTAAATGGAGAATAAAGCACAGCAAGGTTACTGTGGAAAGGACTGGGCTGGTGATGGAAGTGGGAGAGCAGGAAACCCCAAATCTTACTGCAGCATTCAAGCAGTGGAGTTTCTCTGCAGTGAGCAGTGTTTTGGTGCAAAGCTGCAGGGCTCTCCAGGGGTTGGATTTGAACATCTCTGTGGGAGTGTAGAGTGCCAGGCACCGCATCTCTAGCATGGTGAGGTGCTAGAAGGATAAGGAGCACCCAACACAAGCTGTGCCTTGTCCATCTCCTGCTTTTAGGGGGTTTCTGTCTTCAATTTTTTTTATGCTTTCTCTCTGTGCCTGTTCCTCTCTGTAGCTGTTTCCAGCTCTGGTTATCTTTCTGATTTATTTTCAAGCATGCAGACAGCTGCTGAGTGCAGTAGGATGTCTTGTAGAGAGAGCTGCAATGTGCAGCTTACAGTAGACTAAAATATAATAGCATTAATTTGCCACAGAGAGTGAGTTTTGTAGTCTGCCATTTGAAAACTGATACAACAGAGCTACGTGCTCGAAAGTTTTGAGCACATTCATTTTTAAAAATTATTCAAAAACATTTTCATCAGATAATACATGGCAGCCGGTGTGCTATAAATAAATCAATGTTTTAATTAGCCCCTGAACCTGAGTCCCTGAGCTATGAGTTCTTGCAGAATATAACTTACATTAGTAATACATCTTAAATGGCTTTGCAAAATGAATTTCAATTACCCCCCAAAGCAAAAATTAACCAGAATAAACAGGGATTCCATTACAATTCTGTAAGGGTAATAAGAACTGGGTACCCACTGCAGTTGATTTCCATTAGGTGTTTTCTGTGTGCCAACTGAGTCATTCCTGTAAGTTGCTTACAGGAATCATGAGATGCTGGGAGGTGCAAGGGAGGGTTTTTTTATTTTAAATTCCCTGCTTACACTTTGGCCTCTTGGTATGCAAGTGGCTGGAGATGGTTTGCTGTGTCAGCACGAGGCTGGATCTGCTCTGCAGGGAGACAGCAGGCACTCCGTAAATTACCTTTTTTTGTTGTAATTAGTGGTGTATTGCCTGCTGTGAAGAGCTCCCCTTCTCTCTGTCACCTTGAAGAAGAGCAGAGAGTTAATATCACAGTGAGCCCACCTGATCCTAAAAGTTCTTATTGCTACACAGGGTCAGTCCAGCAGCACCTTGTGATTATAATAGAATTATAATATTTTTTCTGTATTAAACGGACATTGCTTTCCTGTAGCTCAGAGTGAGGGATCACTTTTACTGACAGGCTTCAAAGTGTTCTGGTAGCGTTTTCAGTCAGGTACATGAGAGTGGAGAATGATTCCATGGAACTTTCTAAATTAAAGCATACAGCAGCTTGTCACTGCAGCTCTGAAATTGTTTTCTCAGAGTTTTGTTTCCCCCCCTTCTATCACTGTTCACTGAACAGTGAGCAAAAAGCAGCAGTAGTTTTCCTGCAGTGGTTTTCCTACTGTGAACAGCTTTGCTAGCTTGTGTTCTCATTTGTGTTACCATGTGGGTAATACAGTCAAAGGCAGGAAGATAGTTAAACACAATGTGTGAGTGTTTGTCTTTGTAGTTATTTTAAGAATTTGCTGTATCTGAATGAAGTTTGCTGTTTGTTTATTTTTCTTAAACATTTTTCATGTTATCCCCACTGGTAATATCTGCTGTCCTTGCAGTTACTGCAGATATGCAAACATGTTGTTTAATATTAAACCATCCTCACATAAAGTACAGATCTGAAAACTACTGAGAGCAATCATCAGATATTTCTCTACAGATGGGCTGGAGCTCTCAGCATGGTTTGGCAGAGCTGGACTTTTAATACGAATTGCAGGAGTTTTGTCATTTTTCTTTTCTAAATTAAGAAACTACTAGTGAAAAGCAATTCTTTCTAAATCTGAAACAGGCTGAGGATGCAGCAGTATTTGTCTGAAGGCTCTCTAGGGCAAAGCAGGCAAAACAAGAGGAGAGGGCAGGTTTTGTTAGGCTGAGGTAATGGTGGTTAATCCTGGCTCTCTCCCTTCTTGTGGAGGCTCAGGCAGTAACACAAGCAGAGTTCAGGCTGAGCACACACAGAGTTGTGGAATATCCTGAGCTGGAAGGGAGCCACAGGGATCATTGATGCAACTCCTGCCCTGCACAGACACCCCAAAAATCCCACCCTGAGCATCCCTGGGAGCAGTGTCCAAACGCTCTTGGAGCTCTGGGGCTGTGCCCATTCCCTGGGGAGCCTGGGCAGTGCCCAGCACTCTTTGGGGGAAGAACCTTTCCCTGATCTCCAGCCTGAGCCTGCCCTGACACAGCTCCAGCCATCCCTGGGTCCTGTCCCTGTCACAGAGAGCACCTGGGAGCTGCCCCAGGGGAGGAAGATGCTGAGCTCTGCCCTCAGTCTCTCCTCTGCTCCAGCTGAACAAACCAAGTGCCCTCAGCTGCTCCTTGTACAGCCCCTCCAGACCCCTCCCCATCTTCTGTCCCTCTTTTGGACACTCTCTAAAGCAGCTTTAGGTCTTTCTTATCTGAAACTGCCCCCAGCACTGGAGGTGAGGCCATGCCAGCCCAGAGCAGAGCAGGACAGTCCCCTCCCCAGCCTGACTGGGATGTCCCAGGACAGGGATGCCCCTCCTGGCTCCAGGGCACTGCTGGCTCAGATCCAGCTGGCCATGGACCAGGACTTCCAGATAGATCCCTGCTGCTCTCAGCCTCTCATTCCTCGTGCGTCCATGTCCAGGTCATACATCAGTGCCCAGTTGTGAACATCACTGGCAGAAGCTTAATGTGTTCTCACCAGAAATAAAATGAAGACACTGACAGACTTAATTTTGGTGGAGGCACTTAAGAAGCTTTGCCTTCTCTCAATCTGCAGGTTTAGGCTTGGTTGTATCCTAGCCCTGCCTCTCTGACAGTCTGGATATGCTTTGGGCCCCTCTGGAGTGAGGATTTGCTGCAGTGCTAACTTGCGTTTCTGGGACTGATAAGTTTGTTTAGGCAGTGACGTTTGGCATAGCACTCATTCCTGAGAGAAGATTCTTCTCACAAACCCTCTTCAGACCTGACAAATTTCGGCAGTGGTTTTCTTTTCCCCTGCTGACTCTGAAAGGCTTGTTGCTAATTGCTGCAGTTAAGGTGGCTCTCAGAACTCTCTTACTGCCTGCCCCAGCCCAGCTGATCAAACTGGTAAGACTGGGGTTGTAGGAGGGGTTGTACTGACTGCAGTACCTCTTTTCTTCTCTTTAATTCCACATTTTGTAGATACCATCCTGTGTTAAGCTCTAGCCTAACAACTTTTCTCTGCCGTGGGCCGAATTTCCATTTCAAGCTTCGCTGTGCTACTTTAAGGGCAGGAAATGATCTTAATTTGATTTGTCACCAAAAACCCCCTTGCTTTCGTGAGGAAGTTGAGCTAAGTGCAATATCTGAGCTGGAGCTGAGCAGTGGCAGCCACGTCCTGAGCACTGAGGTTACTGTGATACCCAAGCGTGGGGACATGGCACAGGCAGAGGAGTTCCAGGCTTCCCTTGCCTGCCTTTGTTCGCAGCCTGGAAGCTGGAAACGGTGCCCCAGTCATTGATTTTAAGATCCCTGTACTTGCAGTAGGTGTTTTTTGGTTGGATGCTCTGTGGTGGTGCTGCAGAGATTCATTTTGGCCAGGACACTCCACTGGTGGCAGCGAGCTTCACCCTAAAATGGTTAACCCTTTTCATCTATGGAAAACAGGCATTTTTCCCATATAAAGGCTTGTGGGGTGATCTTGCTCACGTTATGTTTCCAGCTGTGGTGAGCTCTGATGTTGCTGACATTTTTGTAATGTGGTTCTGGATTTATTCTGAAATTGCTGTCAGAGGAGGCTGAACTCTGATCCCACTGCACTTATTTTGCAGAGAGCAGCCAAAACAAAGATGTACGTGCTGGAGTTCCTTGGAAAATTACTTCCTTTTCCTGCTTTTTTATGCACTGAAGTACAAATTGCCCCAGTTGTTAGTGAAGAGGAAGATAATCTGTGGTTAGAGACAAACCCATATCCTTGTGCAAATGAAAAATGGTAGTGTTGTGGAAATTAAAGGTACCATTTAAATCCCTCTTTAAATCTCCTTTTCTGGCAAGTATTCTGTCAATCCTTTCTGTTTGTGTGTGGAAAAGTCCCAAAGCCAGGATATTTTTGTGAAGGGCTGTGCTGAGTACTTGTGAAGGTAAAGAAATTGTTTTCAGCCTATTTAATAATTGCAGTGTTCTTGACTGAATGCTGACACAGAAGCTGAGTGTTTTGGGCAAGAATTCTGTACAACTTTGAATAAACAGAAACATTTCTCTCCTGACCTTTCTCTGTTTCATTTCTTGCTGAATCAACTGCCAGAGGGTTTGGAGGTGACTGGGGGAAGGCTGGAAACCTGGAGGTCCCTCTGGTGGCTGATTCCTTTAGGAAAAATGTCTCTTTTTAAAGGATATTGTGAATACATTTATCTAAACATGAGCACGAGGAAAGCTGTATAAAATATTAATCTCAAATAGGTTTCTCTCCTTCTACAACACAGATTTTGGTGCATCACTGCTATGTAACCATAAAATTAAATGCTGCTTGTTTCAGACTGACTTTTTGCTTAGGAAAGTGTCATATAGCAGGAGGCATCTGTGTAATGTAAGGATGTTATTTTGGTATGAGGAACTGGCTTTTCTCGAAATTGATTGAGTTGTTAAGTGTTAATAAATATTTAAACAAATTGTTTGGGATAGTTACTGGTTTTGAGGAGAAACTGCTCTGAGTTTGGCATTCATGGCTCCAAGTGGATGTGTGCAAGGGCATCAGCAGGGAAGATGAAATCTGGTTTGTTTTCTTGACCAGCTCAATTTTGGATGTTTCTTAATAGCTGTCATTATTAGAGATTATGCCTCATCAGAGTTATTTTTTAAGATAGTTTTGCAATAAAGATGTAGCAGGCTTCCCAGGTGTGGTTATGAGTGCTCTGAGTAGAAACACTCCCTGCATTCATGTCTCTCACCACATTGTCTTAAACGTTCCCCTTCGTAAATGGAAGCTTTTATTTGACTCATGTGATGCATCATTAAAACAATATCAATATTTGCTCCCTTCTTTATTTTGCTAAAAACTGAGATTGTTCCAGAAAATAGAGGCCGTTGTGCAAATGGCTGAAGGAAAATAAGTATTTTGAGTTGTGCCCTGCAAGATAGATTTTGCAAAGCATGTACACAGATTTCCAGAGGTAGATGTGTGCACACACACAAATCTTTTGTCACATGCCACTATTGACCGTGCCACAGCTGTCTTGATAAACAACACCCCAGTGTTTGGCTGGGCTAGAAGGCTGCCAAATCCAGCACTTGGAGCTGTCTGGCATGAAAAGAAAAAGCTGTTTGCACAATTCAGTCCATCTTGTTCATTGGGTCTGAGCTAAATTGTCTGCCTTCATTAATGACCCTCTCTTACTGCCTCCAAATTCAGAGTTTGGAGGGATTTTTTCTGAAATATTTTATGTATTCGGTGTCTTTGCAAGTTTAGATCTAGTGCTTTAAGTCTGGCTTATTTTAATTTGAAGCCTCAGACTTCAAGTTTTCTTAATGCTAATTCATAGGGAACTTTAGCTGTGACATGTCAGTGTAAAAAGCTGATTTGGAGCAGGTACCTCACAGTTCTGAGATTTTTTTTTTTAATAGGGTAACATAGGTAATATGAAGAATAATAAGTGAGATTATCCCCATATTGTTCTATAGAATAAAAGGAAAAAACTCCAAACTGTGCCAAATATGTGTACTGATTAGAAAGAGATGTAGGTTTTGAGTGTGTTTTCAATGGAAATTATCAACTTACCATCAATTATGCCCTGCCTTCCCCTGCATCAGGTCTATCCTGATTGTTATTGGAGTAGTTTCAAAAGCACTATTCCCTTTGGCAATTAGGCTCTTCTTGGTCTGGGGAAGACATTAATTTTCTAGGAGTCTTTTGGGAAACCATCTTGACTGTGCTGAATGTTCCAAGAAGAATTCAGGTTTTGTTGAGTTCTGCTGAATTTTTTAATTCATTCAGTCCTTTTTACACTTAGTTCCATTTTAGATGGAGATATTCTGTAACTTTTAAACCCTTCAGCTGTCTGCATCCACGGTAATTTTCTCTCCTTCTAAATTCTACTTTCTCACTGTTTGGATTCTTCTAGACTGGTTTTGGTACAGGATCTCTCTTGTAAATTAGTAAATTGCAGTAAAGTACTGAAACTCTAAAAGAGCCATTTATTTACACTTTGGACTGATCCCTGATATTTGACTTGAGGGTCAGTTTTGTTAGTCTAGGATCTTTGCTTGAAGTTGTAGTCCCTGTTTGTCTTGAGAGGGGAATATTAACCACAGGTTTGAAGCTTTAGATTTCAAGTCTAACTTGGTACTTTCCTTTTTTGGGACAGGGAGGATGTGGTGGCATTTCTGGTATATTACTGCTTTCTCTTACCCTTTATCGATTGTATGAATGATTCCCTCTCAATCTCTCTTTTGCAGATTGAGGAAAGGCCAGAAAAAGACTTTGAGAAGGTAAGAAGGATCTTATCAATTATTCTAACAATAGTGCTTTGTTCATTCTTTTTGGTAGGTAGAACTTGCCATGAGTGTACAGAAGTCTCCTATAAAATCCATTGTGAGGCAAAAATTTGAATTTCTGGAGCCTTCTGCTCTGCAGCATTCTTGAAGATGAACTTTTCAGCCCCTGCTTACTCCATGTTAAGTAGCTGACCTTCAACAGCAGTTGGCTGAAACTGCTTTAGGCTAAGCCACACAAACACTGTGTGTGTTTATTAGATCTTAGTTATAAGACCTAAGTTATTTATGTAAAAATAAATAAATCATCATCATAGAAGAGGAGGCTACTACATTAAGCCTGAGTACAGTTGAGCAGTTCATGTGGCCATTGCTGCAGAGTAAATAAATATCCATAAAGGAGAGCAGCTTCCAAAGCTTCCACAGAGTGTGTTATTGCAAGTTTTGAAAATGTCTGGTAGGCTGACACTAGACCCTAAAGACTTTCTCCAATTGAGAATTAATAGTTAGAAGCTAAATTATGCAAACTCCTATTTCAGTATTATTTAAATACTTCTGATCTGCCTTTTCTCATTAGTTTCTCCTGTTAAATCTTGATTTTTTTACTTCTTAGAAAGTTTGATTTTAATCAAAAGTGCATAATTTAGAAGTGCGGGGACTGGCTTAATGTATGTATTAAAAACATAGAAAAGGGGAAAGCTACAAACCCATGATTTATCTGGAAAAGAAAGTTCTAAGCAGTTGATTTGTGTGATTGTAGGGAGCAAGAACTGTGTCAAGTTTATCAGCAGCTACCTTGGCTTCTCTGGGCGGGACTTCTTCACGGAGAGGCAGTGGGGACACGTCCATCTCAGCTGACACAGAGGCATCCATCAGGGAAATCAAGGTGAGGAATAAAGCCAGAATAAAGGCTTAAACCCAGAATAAAGCGTGGGGTATCCTTCAGGCTCCTTTGGCAGGAAGGAGCTGGCAGTTGTGGCAGTGAAGCAGGTGCTGTGAAGGAGAAGCTTTGCTGGAGATGTCTCTCAGGTGGGACTGAATGTAAGAGACACAACCCATCCTGAAACAGGGAGGGGTAGGAGGGCAGAGACAACTGCACTCCTGGAGAGCAGGGGACAGCCTGCACAGAGTGATCATCGCTGAAAGGGACAGAGTGATCACCACTGAAAGGGACAGAGAAGGGCTGGGATTGTCGGAGCCTTTGAGCCTGGGTCTGCACCCCATCCTTAACGATGGAGATTCCGTTTTTTTCCAGCCAAGAAAAGCAGAATTGGCACAAAAATCTCCTGACCAAGAAATCTGGTTGTCTGGCAAGACTTCAGCTTAGGGTCAGAGCCCTTAACATGTGTGGGAGAGGTGTTGGAAGGAGCACGTGGAGCATTGCTTGTCCCTCCCAGCTGCATTCTGCCTGTTAGTGTTCACTGACCTCTCTCACCACCTCCCTCAGGACATCTATGAGTTAAAGGACCAGATTCAGGATGTAGAAGGCAAATACATGCAGGGCCTGAAAGAACTGAAGGTACTGGTGTGTGAGCATTAACCCTGGCCCGTGTGAGCCCCAGAGCTGCCCTTGCATGCTGTTCTCCTGGAGAGGCTGGGAGCTGTGTGCAGTGTCTCATTAACCAGCACACTGTTCTGACTGGGTGGGTTGGGGTGAGAAAAGCTTCCAAGTGTTCACTGAAAGGCTGCTGGTTGCTCCTGCGTGTTGTCTTTTGCTGGTGTGAGGAGATCGTTGTTTTGCTAGCAAATTAAAATTATTTTATTTTATTTATTTCTTTTAATATCGTTTCCTAATCCAGGAAACCTTCCAGTCTTGGGAGATAAACTCATCTCCTACAGTTCTAAAAACAAATATGAGTTTAGAACCTTGTATATTTTTATTTTTATAAGGCCATGTGAGGTGTCATTTTGGTTTCATCTTTAGATGACAGAAGACACCCTTAAACAATTCCTGCAACACAACTCGATGTATCAAAGCCTGTTACATGAAGGAATGCTGGAGCTCTTACTGCTTCCATAAAGCCATAAATACATTTTGGTGCAACATCCATGTGCCACCCACCTCCTAAGTGAGTTGTGACATGAGCTGTGGCCTTTTGGAAAAGGAAAATAGATAAATTCAACATTACCAGCATTAATTGTTGATTGTGTCGTCAGCTCAGCACTGACAGATGAAGGTGTTGCCATCTTAAGTGAGTTTTCAATGGAAACTGAGTAGTTAGGCCCTTTTTTTGTTAAAATTTTGTTTTCTTTCCTGGTCACTGAGTAGCAGATAGAGCAAAATAATCACACTGCATAAAATTTTTTTCAATCCATGTCCCTTAGACTGCCTTTTGGGGTGATTTGGAGCTAAGCTGCACTGTTTGATGCTAAGAAACCAAAACGTGGTATGCTGATGGAGTGGAGCAGAACTTCCTTAACTTCTTCCTTGCATGTACTTCCTTTTCAGCTCCTTTCTGAGCTTTCCAAATCCTGGTGGCTTTCCTATGTTTGATATTTCTCATCTGGAGCTGGAAAATGCCCCAAAACACAGTTAAGCATTTGGAACTGGACAAATTCGTGTCCTGAAAGACAAATTATCTCATTTGTTAATAGAAATGTCACTTAAACTGATTTAGACTTTGCCACCATCACCTTTAATTCTATTAACAGCTGAAAAAGGAAGTATGTGAAACTCACCCGTACTTGAGTTGAAATAATTAAAATTACACAAGTTCCAAGAGAAATTGTTTGATCTGTAAACTAAAATGTTGACACGTGTGTCCTCCTTGTTTGCACATTTATACTGCTTTGTTTATATAACTCTTTGTTTATATAACTCTTTTATTTCTTTGTTAAAACCAAGTAGTGCAAAGTTTGTCTGCATAAGTGAAAATTTATGCTAATCTTTATTTTACCATAATTTGTTGTTGTAAATATCTCAGTATCTTATATCCAGGTCAGAAGGGGTTTTCAAGCCACTGGGAATTGTATCTTAGAGAGTAAATTTGTAAAGAAGAGATGTGATATGGGAAGGCTAATAGGAAATGGCACATCAGGTCACAGAAGTTGCAGCTTTCTCTTTCACAGTGAATTCGAATTCCTGAGTCAGTATTTAAGGGTTTCCACACTGCAAGGATCTCTAAAATTAGTGTGAACTGGCTAACTGCCTTAATTTGAGGCCTCAGATCATCCAAAGTGATCTTAAATCAAGGCAAATTTACCTTTAAATAAAAAAAAAAAATCCCAGCTTGTCATCTTCAGCAGCTGCTTTGAGCTGCCAATGTGCAGGGGCAGGGGGAGGAGGGAGAAGGAAGAGAACTGGGAAGGCAGAAGCTGAAGCAGCAGAGGACAGGAAGCTTTTTATCCCTGCTGAGGTGAGGCTTTCTTGAAAGCACAAGTGTGGTGGGGACAGGGGAGGTTTCCTCACTTTGGGACAGCTGGGGAACCTCCAGCACAGGATTAATGCTGCTTTCCATAGGCAAACTCAGTGAGCTTTTTTGGCGCTTTATTTTCTTACTGAAGGGCTTGGTTGGCAAATTGTCCTCTTTATTCCTCACTCTGCTTTTATTCTCTGCAGGACTCTCTAGCTGAAGTTGAGGAGAAATACAAGAAGGCTATGGTGTCAAATGCTCAGCTGGACAATGAGAAAACCAATTTCATGTACCAAGTGGACACCTTGAAGGATGCACTCTTAGAGTTGGAGGAGCAGCTGGCAGAATCCAGGAGACAATATGAAGAGAAAAGTAAAGTATGTGAATAGCTGTGGCATGGGAAATAACAGGGAGAGATTTGGAGGGGGAGTAGAGATCTTTGAGAGGAGGCAGCTAAATGATTATTCAGGATTTTGTACAAATTGCTGGTTTGATTAGTATTAAGTGAAATATCAATTTGTTGTGTACTTGTGATCATACAAATGAGAATTTTCTCTAAGCCATTTCTGAAGAAGGGGAGAAATGTTCTAGCTGATAAAGGCTATATTGATATTATCACATCTCCTTTTATATTCCATCTCTAAAGTAAATTCACAGGGTTTGTCCATAGGGATTTCTGGAGCAGTTTTACACACAGAGGTGTCTCCAGGCAGCCCGTGGGAGAGTTGTGCAGTTCAGACAGTTCAGGCAGCTCCATGGTTAAATGTTGGATTCAGTTTTGCATTAATTCAGCAGTGATTTGGTGTTAAATAATAAAACTGGGGCTTATGTTTTCAGAACTGCCTTCTTGTAGCTTGGGGCATCTGACTACACCCCACTTCTAAAAAGAGTTCCTGAAAGATACAGTGGGGTTTTCTTCTTTTTATTTAAAAGTCCAGCTAACTTTCAGTACATGCCATGTGAGAAGAGTGGGTTAAATTTCCATCCATTCATCTGTGCAGTCTGAAGGACTGGAGTGTAAAAGCTCTTCAGCCTGCTGCTCAGCTTTTGAAATAGGCTAAATGATGTCTGTCACTTCTATATTTGGTGCAATAATATCATCTTGGAAAAAGGACAAACTCGATAAAAACGGCACTCTTGTGGGATTGTGATTAGAGGGATATTCAAGAATTACATTGCAGTAAGCATTTTCTTTGTGTTTGGGCTTATTTTCCTCTTTTTGATGGATGCTATTTGTGATTAATAATAATCTTGTGAATATTTCATTATTCACAGGAATTTGAGAGGGAGAAGCATGCTCATAGCATATTGCAGTTTCAGTTCATGGAAATCAAAGAGGCTTTGAAGCAGAGAGAAGAAATGCTTGCAGTAAGTAACTTTTTTCCCTTTTAATGGCTTCTTTGATTGGTACATTTCCCAGGTAGCAGTAGAGTGGAGAATGTGAGGAATGGAGAATTTTATTCCCTATTCAAGTTTCTCACCAGAAGAAATGTTAGTGTTTCAGGCCAAACAGGTTCAGAGCTGACTAATGCAAATAGTTACTTTCCTAAGTATTATCTTCTTCTTCCTAAGTATTGCCTTTTGGACAGCTGCTTGTGGAGATACAGAGGGAAATAACAGAACTGTGTAACTTGTTTTAAGTCATGTTGTGGGTAGTAAGATTGTCTTCAGGAGCACAGGTTCAGTTGGGATGTCAGAAACTGTGCATTGTAGATACCCATTTACTTTAGCACCTGACTTCTTTCATTCTTTGGCATCACTGCAATCTTGGCTTTCCTTGTTAACCTCTTACCTGCTTTCTGTCTTCTTGTTTTGCTCCTGCCCCTCAGGAAATCCAGCAGCTGCAACAGAAACAGCAGAGCTATGTCAGGGAAATTTCCGATCTTCAGGAGACAATAGAGTGGAAAGACAAAAAAATAGGGGTAGGACTTGTCAACCCTGCAATATGTTCCAAGTGACACTGTCATTCTCCACCTGATCCTGCTTTTGTAAAACCCTTTGGATAAAACCCTCTGTAGTGCCTTTGCTTGCTGTGGCTGTCCTATGATGTTGCCAGTGAAGTAGCAAATAGCAAGTGTTGTCTTTGGCCAGTACCTTAAAATCCAAGGAAAACCTAGCAGCTGGTCTGCTTACAAGCCAAGGGGAATTGATTTGCTGTGCTGCACCATTTGTAATTTGCCACATGGGGAAAGGAAGTGCTATTTATAATGCAATTCCATCAGCAGCGAGGTTTTGCTTACTCAGATTTAATCTGCGGACTGAGCAGAAACTGGAGTGGGACAAAGAGGTAATGGAGCTATTTATGGGCTGTTGGGATGAAAGCCTCCCTTGCTTCTCATCCCTTCCCACCACCTCCTATCAAAGCCACATGGAAACCCACTCTGGTTTTCTTTTCCAGCTGAACACTGAAGGGCTTCCTGAATAGAGTAGGAGAAAGAAACCTGACAGCTTACTCATGTTTGTCCAAAAATTTATAGCAGCTTGAAACTGAAAATTACTTACACCGAAATACTGGGAGGGGGGAGTTCAGTAGTAAAATATGCATTTGCACATGGTGCATCCCAGACTAAGGATGACATAATGGCAGCTTTCAAATGAATTAAAATGTAAAATAAAAAGGCTCCTGAAATCCATAGGGCCTACTTCCACGCCCTTCCATTAACACATGGGAATGATGCCTTCAGTGTGCATGCTAAAGCAGTATGGGCTTGGATTAGCTTGTGTAGCAGATAAGGATAAAAAGTGAACCCTCAGTTGAAGGATCCCTAATAAGAAATTGGGCTCTGAGTGTCTTTGGCAGGAATTCTCGGTTATTGAGGAAGCTGTGCCTTTCTTGGATTTGAAGTTTTTCTCTCTCTGTATGCAAACTCAGTCTGTAAACTCAGCCTTTTTCATCTGTGCCCCTTCCATCCCCTGAATATCTTAAATCTGCTCATTCTTGTCTACATTTGCTTTTCATGGCCTTTACTTGTCTCCCTTCCTTTCTTCACATCTCCTCGCTCTCTATCTGTGTTGGGAACTCAGGCACTAGAGAGGCAGAAAGATTTCTTTGATTCCATAAGGAGTGAGCGGGATGTCCTTAGAGAAGAAGTGGTTGTGCTGAAGGAGCAACTGAAGGTATGCAAGAGGAATAAAATAAATTTATATTCATCTGCTGACACTTTTCCCCTGTATATTTGGGCAGAAAAATTAAGTCTAGTTCAGTAGCAATAACTCAATTTTCATATTGCCTATAAATTGCCATTTCAGGGATTTTCTGTGTAAAGTCCTTTCCCTACTATTGGTTGTGAGTTCTTACTCGTAGACTGGAGTATAAAGAAGTTGTTTTTGCAGGAGACACTTTTCTGAGGAACATCTTATGCTGCAGATTTATGTTAAAAAAAAAAGACCTGGGATCACATGCTTTGTGTCAGAATGGCTGAACTGAGAACTGCAATATCTGTTCTCCTTCCTGACTCCCAGCCATGTTTAATGGAATGATGGAAGCAATTGTTTATTCAGAGTATCTCGGACAAGAGCACTTGACAATCCTTCCCTTTCTGAGCAGCAGGCTCTAAAGCATTGCTTTTGCTTCCCGCAGAAACATGGCATAATCCCAGACGCTGACATAGCCACCAACGGGGATACATCAGACATTCTGGATAACGAAGGACACTTGGATTCTTCCCGAACAGGCACCACTCAGGCATTAAAGACAGGAGGGGAGGGGATGCTAGGTAAGTGCTGGGTGTCCTCTCAGCCCCTCCTGCCTGTCTGTCCTTCCTTCATCCACCTTTGCTTGGATGGGGCAGTCGTTAGTGGGACAATTAACACCACGCAGCATGCTCCTTGTCCAGTCACTCCCTGTGCATTTCCCTGCTTCCTGTTGATTATCACTCCCAGTGTGTCATGCAGTCTCCTCCAGCAGCAGACTTCACTTCCCCTGCAAGGTGACAAAGATGGGAGTACAAACAGACAATTACAGATAAGTAGCAGTCATTCACATCACCATCAAAACCCGAATTGGAAAATTGTCCCAAGATAATCCTACTGCTGCACAGTATTTTTCAGCGCATACCTTAAATAATCATGAAAAAAAGGTGTTTTAGTTTGCTGTAAAGAGCTTGTATGTTGGTTCATTGGTATCCCTGAGAACTGTGTCTGCTTGAACAACTGTGCTGGGCTCTGACAAAGCACACCAAAGGATAAATTCTTTGTTCCTGTGCTATTGAACATCTAAAATTAACACTTCTGTGTTTTTACTTGTTACATTGACACTTAAATTCAAAGGATATAATTGACGTGGACAGTGTTAGGAAGGAGAAATCTGGTTGGCAAAACCTCTTTCTGTTTTTATGTGGTGAATGGCCATTAGAGAGCTATTTTACTAGTGTAAGGAAAGAAAGTAATATTTTTGGTTTGTTGGAAATTTTTTTTTTTTGTTCTAAATGAACATGCTAATGAATAGCTGCAGGCAGCAAATTGTTGCAAGTGCGGGTTCTCTTGCTTTGAGCTTTTGGCTGCTTTTTCCTCACTTAGTTACTGTGTGGAAACAATGTGGAACACCAAAAACCAAGGTAAGGGTGTATTTTTAAATGTAATATGTTTTCTACATCTCCTAATCCTGTTTTTTTTTCAGAATAGGTACAGCATAGACCCAAAAAGTAACAACAAACACTACTGTTTTAATATCTGTTGCTTTTAAATATAAATTGAAGGAAAAGTGTTACAACAAAAATAACCTTCAAAAAACCACAGAAGTCTCCACCCCTTTGGGTGGCTGAAGTAAGGGGCACAGATTACCTGAGCTTTGATCTGTGTCGGGAGGTCTGAACAGCCAATTCATTTGCTTGCCAATCAGATTTTAAATTCAGTGTCTGTCATGTGCACTATTAGTGAATAATTCCATTGTAATGGCATCAGACTCCTGCATGGATAGAGGAGTGTCAGCTTAAAGCTGTAGAGAAAAATGCTGAGGAAGAACAGTCCTTAGAGGTACATCTGCAAATGTTGCTGTTAAATTGCACTGCTTCAACCAGTTGTTCTCCTCTACGAAAGCTGTCATTCCCACAGCCAAGAGCCTAAATCTCCTGCTTTACAAAAACACCAGCCAGCACCAGAGACTTCTTGCTTTGAGAGGGTGGTGGTGAGTTTCACTGATCAACCCCCCTGGATCCTTACTAATTCAAGCGCTGCTTTGCCTCACAAAATTGGCAAAAGCTGATCTTTCATTAACCTGTTCTTCTCATTCTGTCTTTCGGGTTTTAAGTGGGGAGGTAAGTGCTGTGGTGTGGCCCCCTCAACTTTCTCAATGGTCTTTTAGGCAAAGCCAATGAAGTGGAGATGAAAAATGAGATTTTGGAGGATGTGGGGAAAAGAGAAATCTTGCAGAATACTGAGCATGAGGAGCAGAAAGAGGAGTCTGAGGAGGAGGAAGTACAGACAATGCATGCTGCTGAAAATGCAAAGGCAGAACAAATGGTTGAAGAACGGGACACCCTGCCAGCAGTGATGTTACCAGAGGGGTTTGCAGAGCAAGCCCAAAGCCTCACAGAACCTGTGCCAGGGAGCACTTCTTCAAACAGTGACAGTGACACAGATGGCTTGAGAAAGGTCACAGAGTCCAGGGGCCCAGCAGCCCAGCAGCCTGAGAGTACAGAGGCTGAACACCATGACTTGAGTGCAAGGACAAATGAGAACTTGGAGCTGGGCTCTCTGCAAGGGCACCAGATTTTTGAGACTCCTCAGGAAATGTTTTATGACTCAGGTACAGAGCAGGAACTGGGAGAAGCTGCACCCAACCAGGAAGAGGAAGAGGAGCTTAAAACCAGCCATGCCCTGAGTGATAATGAAATGGATGAAGGATGTGACAGTACCAGTGACAGCAGTGACTTGGCTTCTAACCAGGCAGGGCTACCTGAGGGAGCAGTGGCAGGGTTGCTTAGGGAAGAGGGAAATGTGGAGAGTTCCACTCCAGAGGAGCCCCAGCACTCAGAAGAAAGTGCTGAAAACGAGGTTGCAAATGTCTTGGAGGAAAAGTTTGTTGACTGCACTGATGGAAGAAGTGATGAAACGGCAGGTGACAGAGCTGAAGAAGAAAATGAGGTTGGGAGCACAGTTCAGGGTCAGCCGAGGGAAACTGAGTCTGTGGGTTTGGAGGGGACAGAGCCACCTGAAAGGGATGTCCCAGCAGAGCCACTTGAAAAGGAAGGTGGAGAGCATCAGACATTCATACCACCGGCTTCTTCAGGGGACAGTCCTTCCACATTCCCAGAGGAACCAAGAACACAAGGTGAAACTGCAGATGAAACTGCTACAGCTGAGAAGGATAGACAGAAGGAAGAATTGGTGGAAGAGCTGGAGAAGTGTTCAGATTCTGCTGAAACAGGAGAGCAAGGTGTAGCATCTGTGGATGAGACAGGAGGCTGCATTCCTGAGGGAAAGGGAAGTGAGCTGCATCAGGCACAGCCAGGAACAGAGGTGGGGAGAGAGGTGACCACTCAGGAAAGCCCTTCAGACCCAAGTCTTTCAGGTGATGAAGTTAAGGAGTCAGAATTGGAAACAGGGGACGAGGCTGGGGAAGGACAGGAAAGTAGGACAGAGTGGGTTGAAGATTTGAATCCAATGATAGAGGTTGAAACAAGTCAGTGTAGTGAAGAAACAGCAGGTGGTACAGAAGGAGAGAAAAATGTTCCTGTAGAGGGTGAAGTGCAGAAGGTGGTTGAACAAGTAGAAGGTGAATCTAAAGAGGAGTCATGTGTAGATGTTACTGTAACTACTGGAAACAAAGCCAGTAAAGAAACACTGAAAGAAAATGAGCAAGAGGTAGAGCTTGCAGACCAGCCTGGTGGGGAACTTGCTTCTGAGGAACGTGTAAGTAATGCCCTGGCACAGAAACCTGTGCAGGATGACAACAATAATGAACAAGTTACACTGGAGGAAGGTGTAAATAATGCCCTGGCACAGAAACCTGTGCAGGATGACATTAGTGAACAAGTTAAACTGGGGGAAGGTGCAAATAATGCCCTTGCACAGAAACCTGTGCAGGATGAA